CAAACCGTAGAAAAACCCCAAACCATAGTGTGCTCCAACCACACTCAACTAGAATATAAACCCCTACTCCCTACCCCAGGCATTCCCAGGTACCCCAACACTTGGAATGCAGAATTAGGGTTTAATAATCTACCTAGAGATTCTTATGCTTATGGGTGACAGCTACAAATGACATCTTCCCTGGGAGGTTAAGGGACAGGGCTGAAAATGGGGTCAAGGAGCTCAACTGTCTCTTTTGTGTTTGCTTTTGTTTTGTTGTTATTGTTGTTTTGTTTTTTCAAGACAGGGTTTCTCTGTAGCTTTGGAGCCTGTCCTGAAACTAGCTCCTGTAGACCAGGCTGACCTCGAACTTACAGAGATCGGCCTGCCCCTGCCTCCCGAGTGCTGAGATTCAAGGCGTGCACCACCACCGCCCAGCTCAACTGTCTCTTTAAGGGTGGGAAGCCCAGGAGGCCTCCACTCATCACCTATCATAATGACCCCTGCCCAGTAGCCTCTGAGGGCATCTTTCTGGACAAAGCCCAGCTTAGCTGTGGTCCTAAAGCCCGAGATGAATTCTGGATCTGGCAGGCCCTGCTAAAGGGAATGGGACACTAGACTCATTCAGGGTGCCTGGCGTCAAAAGGCTCATGACAGCTTGCCTACTGAGGATGCCAGAAGGACCCCACACCTACTCCTTGACTCTAATCCCTCCCTGCTGAGGCAGTCGCTTGGCACAGAAGAGAGAGGGACTTCTTGTCTCCCCACCCCTATTCCGCCTCAGACGGATACTCTGCCTTCTTGGATACGTCTGCTTCAGGCCTTGACTCAAGTCTGACACCCTTATACCCCTAGTACTGGCTCGTAAGAACCCTGGGTCCCATGGTCAGCTCAAGGACAGAGTTACTCTATCCTGTTTTCAGAATGGCAAGATGTAAGTTCTTTCTTCTCATTCTGGGGAAGGTCCTCGGCATCTTAGTTCTCCCGTAGCCAGCAGCCAAGCCAGGTCCACTCTGCTGACCATACACACACAAGCACACACACACACACACATGCAAACAACATACATTCACACATATTCATTGGGCCTCTGCCACCTACCTAGCTCAGCACCCCAACAAGGCCCATCTCACAGCCTCTAGGTACTGGGGCTGGACACGACCACAGGACAGGGCTCTCCACAACAGAGTGGCCACCATCCCCACCTGTAGGACTCTCCCGAGGCTCCTCTGTGAGCCCCCATTCCATTCTCAGATGGAGAAATGCGGTCCAAAGGGGGCTGGAAGCTAATACCCATTGTTCCCATCCCCAGAAGCAACTGGGTTCAGCCTCCACGCCATGCCCCAGCCTGTGGCGGACACTCACCGTCCTCAATGATGACTTTGATGAGTCGGACGGAGCCAGCCCGGGCCTTGGCAAAGAATTCCTTTAGCTCTTCAGTGGCTACAAGCACAAGGAACATAGTTGCTGTTGGTGAGCAGGCAGAGTGGATAGGGATGAGTTTGGGTCTGCTGCTGTCCCCGAGGGGTCTGAGGGCTAGACTGAGAAGTGGGTTAAATATGGTTCCCCATGTGACTGGGAACCCGAGACGGCCACTGAGCACACGCTCCCAAATTTAGCTGGTAGGAGTGGTAGGCAGATGGCCTGCTGGCTGGGACGGCTCTGATGACAGGGCAGGCAGGAACGGGGCCATCTGCATGAAGATGGAGCAGGTTCAAAGACAAGTCAAGCTGGCCAGAACGAAGGGCACCCACTTGTCCCCTGGCAATAGGATGGTCCAGCAGTGGATGGGCACCCACTCAGCTGGTCAGTGTAAGTGGACACACTCATTTAGAGACACACACACACACACAGGCAACAGACACAGCTGCAGTGTGTCTACGCCATGTGAACTGGCAAGACAGACAAACATACAGACAAAGGTGTGCACGACACAAGAATGCACTTGCAGTCCGAGCTCCCCAGCCAGTTTGTACCAAAAGAGGGGACCACCTGCCCCAACATAATCCTATCAAGGGGCAACGAAGCCTCAGCTCCCAGGCAGTAAGGAAGGCTTCCTGGAGAAGGAGTGGAGCCTGGAAACTGGGTGGGGGGCAGAGCTGGATGGTCATTAATGACCAAGGACACAGTGCCGAGGTGAGGACCACAGTCACGGTGAGAGGATCACGAATCACCTCAACTCCACTCTTGGTAGCAGAGAGGGAAAACCACAGTCCAAGTGTGTAAGGGACTTGCTTGGGTTTCTGGGTGAGTGTGACCTTGGGGCTGCTGGGGTCAGAAGAACCCAGGCAGAAACACAGCTGGAGAACTGAGGTCACAGAATATTTATAGGCCTTGGCTTGGGCAGCTGATGGGCAGCTTAGGGGCGGGGTGGAGGGGCTTTAGGTAAACAAACTCCTCTCAGTCATGTCCTCAGGTGCTCCCCTTTTCCCGGCAACCTCAGGCTGTAGACCCATGAAGGTCACTGTGTGGCCTATCAGGACCTAAAAGTCCTGGGGACAGAGAAACATGGCTTGGTACTGTAACAAGGAACACAGCCCCGCTGGGCATGGACAAATAGTAACCATCAGCAGATGCTTGAGGTTTTAAACCTGATCTTTGGGGCCCCAGCTTCCGCTTAGCTGTGTGACCTCTGACCTCTCTGAACCTCAACCTCATCTATAAAACAGAGTTAATTCCCTCAGACTCAAAGGGTGGTCCATGGGAGAAGGTGCTAAGGAACGGGACTTCTGCTAATAATTATTTTTTTTTTTGATCTAAGGGTGGCTGTGTTTTATCGCTTCGCCTACCTGCCTAGATCTTGAGAGAGAGGCCAGGAAGCTCCCCAGAGGGAGAGGCTGACAAACCCCTTCTACTGTTACCAGTGCGAACTGAAAGCCAGCAGGGACAGTGACATCCCTTCCTACCCCACCCCATCGTCTCCCCAGTCACCATGAATAATCTAGAGGCCAGCTCTGGGATACCTGAGCCTCGTCATCAAAGATTCATGCCTCCCCACCCCCACCTTGCCCACCTCCAACTCCAGCAAGCTTCAGGTTACAGCCCTTCTCCGGGGCCCACTCTGAGGTCACCAGGCCTACTTCTATGGCCAGACCAAGGCTGGCACCTGAACTTCCGGGGTGGTCTTTCTTGCTATCTCCAGCAGGCTCCAAAAAGGAAGGTGTGTATACCCTCACAGGCGGGACAGTGGGAAGCTCTCCTAAGCAGGCCTATCTCCCAGCATGGGGAATGAAGGAATGGGGCAGTGACCACCACAGGCTCTGTCAGCAGTGTGCGCGGGCACTAAGTTCTTAGCACCTCCTCCCAGCTGGAGGCAGCAGTTCAGACCAGACAAAGAGGAAGGAAGGGGCAGGCCAAGCAGTGGTTTCCCCCCTGACAGTTTCCCACTTTGAGGCTGACTCAGGAAACCTGACCCTCCATCTCCAGGAGAAGTTGGCTCACCTGAGGGAGGCCAGGGCCCGATCTAGGTCCTGGCAGGCTCAGGACAAGCAGGCTGGGGATGAGGTGGAGCCAAGGGGAAAGCCTCTGAGGACTATCCATCCACCAAGTGGCCACAACCGCAAGCAGGGATTAAGGCGGTCAGGCAGGTCGATGGTGGTAGCCCTGGGCAGGGGATCATGATGTGGTGACAGGAGTGGCTGGTGGCCAAACCAACAAGCTGTCTAGGCAAGCAGCCTGGCCTTCCCTACTGGCCAGGGAAGTAATCTTCCCAAGCCAGTAACAGATGGGGACAGTGAGACCAGGCTGGGCCAAAACACCTGCCTTCCAGCTATTGCTTCTGTCTCAGTCTATCTAAGGAGGAAACTGGGACCCTGGAGAGGAACTGTGGGTGTGACACTCTGGGCTGTAGACACTTCCTGTAGATGAGGGTGGAGGCAGGAGCACTCCTAGAAAGCCTAACTCCTGTCCCTCTTCCCTGCTTTCAGCTTGAAGTTGGGATTTTTGCAGTCCTGGCTGGAGCAGATCACAATAGAAAACGGAAGAAGTCAGAGGCCAAGGTCAGATGTGCAACTCTCCCCATTCTACTTTAGAAGGAGGGCTCTATGCCAGCTTTTGTCCAGCCTGGTGCAAGAGTATGGGGGTCCTGGAAGAAGTAAGGGTCAGGATACTCTCTCCACACATATACCCAAGTCCATAGTCATAAGACACCCGGACAAGCATCCACAGTAGCACACACACACTTAGATGTGCCTGAACTGTGCACACATGCAGACACCCATAGATGTGTGCATGCTGCCAGGAAACACTTATGTCTGAGATGGTCCATGCCACCTACGGTGTCCAAAACCAGCTACTACTGCATGCACACGAAGGAGCCTGGGTCGACATAACCAAGTCGCATCCAGATGTGCACACACAGGACTGTATACAGAGGACATGTGCACATGCGTGTGCACTTTTCCAGATGTGCACATCCGGGTACACCCCACCTTCAGAAAAGAACAAAAATACCGAGATGGGTACATATAGGCACATCCGCCCCCAGATGAGTACACAAGATACTTCCACCCTTGCTGTGTGCACCCATGTGCACCCACTCCCGGCCACGTACAGCAGTCTGTACTCCCCCAAGATGTGACTCGCGGCTGCAAAAAAGAACAGGAAGCTTCCCTGGAGGGTGCGAGGAAGAGGAGGATGAAGGGACCAAGCGCGCAGACCAGGCGCGGCAGAGCCCTTGGGCCCCCTGTCCGCCCTCCATCCGCCCTCACCGTGGATGCCAGTCTGGTGCGCCATGGCTCAGCGTTCGGCTCGCTCGTGCCGTCGGACCGCTCCGCTTGGTCCTGGCCCGGCTCGACTCGGCTCGCCTGGACCCAGAGCTCCGGAGGATGTGGCGGTAGCACCCAGCTTCGCTCAGCTTCCCGGGCGGTGCCGCAGGACCCGCCCCCAGCGCGCCCCGCCCCCGGAGGGCGAGGCCGGCAGAGGCGGGCACTAGTGCCGCGCGTGCGCGCAATGGGCCGCCGGGGTTCGGATGGCGGAGTGCTTCGCAGCTACCCTCTCGGTGACACAGAAAGGGCCTGCGGGTGCCGGAGGGGTGTGTGTGTGGGCGGGCGCTGGTCGGCCAAATTCCAGGAGTCTTGTGGGCGGATCCGCGCTTGGGCGTGGGAGGGACTGTATTTGCCTCGGAGGAGGTTTGAGAGTGGGAGGCGACCCAGGCGTACCCTAGTTTGTGACACGTGAGGGTCTCTCAGTATAGGTGGGCATGCGCGCTTGTGTGTGTGTGTGTGTGTGTGTGTGTGTGTGCGTGCGTGCGTGCGTGTGTGTGTGTGTGTGTGTGTGTAGGGGGCTCTTGGTCCCCAGGCCTTTCTTCACAGGTGGACTGACGATCTGAGGGTCTCTCAGTATAGGTGGGCATGCGCGCTTTTGTGTGTGTGTGTGTGTGTGTGTGTGTGTGTGTGTGTGTGTAGGGGGCTCTTGGTCCCCAGGCCTTTCTTCACAGGTGGACTGACGATCTGGTGCTTGGCGTATGTGGTGGCTGGAGCCATACGCTGAGAAAGTGAGGAACCGTAGGAGAAGGTGAACTGTGGATGGAATACGATAGGAGAGACCGGGGTGACCTAGTAGAGTGGAGAGTAGAGGAAAGTTTTCCCAAACAAAGGTGCGTGTGGAAAGGCCCAGCAGTTTTAAAGACCGGAACTTAGTCTGAGACACTTCCCAATTCTTAATGAACTTGTCTCCATGATCAGAGGCTTTTTCTGCTGCTATTACTAACATTTAGCAGTTAGTACTCTTAATTTTTTTAAATAAAGATTTATTTGTTTATTTTATGTATATGAGTTCTCAATGGGCATGTACAACTTTATGCCAGAAGGGGGCATCAGATTCTGCTAGAGATGATTGTGAGCCACCATGTAGTTGCTGGGAATTGAACTCGGGACTCGGGACCTCTGGAAGAACTTGGAATGCTCTTAACCGCTGAACCATCTCTCCAGCCCCAGCAGCTAGTACTCTTAACTATTCAACCATCTCTCCAGCCCTGAGGATTGTTATTTAAAAATTGATGGCTCGCTGGTTAAGAGCACTGGCTGCTGCTGTTGCATAGGACCCAAGTTTGGTTCCCGGCACCCACGTGATATAACAACTCACAATTGTCTGTAACTCCAGCTGCTTCTGATCTCCTAGAACTAGGCACAGATGTGCAGAGATACATGCTGGCGAAACACTCAGACATTAAAAAAAATTAAAATAAATTTGAAATAAAAACTTAAAAAAAAGTTAGGAATTAATAGTCGGGAACTGGAGAGATGGCAAGCATATAAATTCAGATTCCCAGCCAGCACCAGAGTGAAAAAGCTTGACTTTACCTCCTTACCCCCAGGACTGGGCGGGAAGACCATGGGGCATTGGAGGAGAGGGAGTTGGAAGAGACAGGCCAGTACCTACCTGGAGCTCATTTGCCAGCCCAGCTAAATGGAGAGCTCCAAGTTTATAAGAGAATCTAAAACAGTAAGATGGGGAGCCATAGAGGCGGGTGGCTGATGTCCACCACTGGCTTTTACATTGCACCCGAACACACACACATATATGGTGTATATCTATAGATGGTATATATATGTGTGTGTATACCACACACATAAACAAAAAAGAAATAGCAAGTCTATGAGAAAACACAAGCAATAACTAGCTAGTTTAAACAGCATCCTAAGGCTGGGGATATGACTCAGCCAACAGAGTGCTTTTCTAACATGCACGAATTCCTAGGTTTGGTCCCCAGCACTACACAAACCAAGTGTGATGGCAAATAACTGTGATCCCAGCACTAGAGAGACAAAAACAGGTGGATCTCTTTGAATTCAAGGTCATCCTTATGTTCCAGGCCAGCCAGGGCTACATGGCTAGATTCTTTCTCAAAAATGAATGAATGAATGAATGAATGAATGAAAAGAAAGGAAAAAGAAAAAGATTCAAGGTTATCTGGGCTACATAGTGAGTTCCTGGACAGCCTGGGTGACATGGGACCATATCAACAAACAGCAAGAAGTCAGAAAAACTGTAAAATAAATGAAAACGGAACTGTATTTGAAACTTCTTTATAATTTATTTATTTGTATTTTATGTGAATTGGTGTTTTGCCTGCATGTATGTCTGTGTGAGGCTGTCAGATTCTCTGGAACCGGAGTTACAGACAGTTGTGAGCTGCCATGTGGGTGCTGGGAACTGAACACATATCCTCTGGAAGAGCAACCCCTTAACCACTGAGCCATCTCTCCAGCCCCCTGTATCTGGAATTTTATTTTCCTGTAGGCAAAGGTTTTAAAACTTTGATAAGAGTTGTGATTGCCAAGGATGGGGAAGCAGGCTGTGGAAGCGTATATAAGACAGTGTGATGACTGATCTTGAGTGTCGAATTAATTATCTAGGAGGGGAACCTTTGAGCTAGTCTATGAGGGCATTTTCAGGACAGTTCAATCAGGAGGGAAGCACCACCCTGAATGCGGGCAGCATCCTGTGGGCTGGGGTCTGAATAACTAGGGAAGAGTGCCCCTCTTCCTGGTGACAGACACACTGTGACCATTTGCCTCGGATTCCTGATTACCCAGGATAGATTATCCTTCCCATAGTTGCTTTTTACAGATACTTTGTTACAGCAAGAAGTAAGTTGTTTTTTTTTTTTTTTTTTTTTTTGGTTTTTTGAGACAAGGTTTCTCT